TTAACACACACAAACTCAAACTCGTAATTGATAGTATTCCTAATTCCACAAAACTCCAATAAGAAACATTGCTGTCGCTTATTCTGAAATACTGTCAAACTTAAACGATTTATTATAGCCGTATTTTTAACTATTGGCCCAAAACTTTTTCTTACATTGAACCTTTATGACTTCTGTGACATGCCCCCGAGAAATGACACGGTTTCAAAACTACACCTTGTATAAACAGCACATTTTACTACTTCGGCCTACAGAAAGTCAAAGTCATTCACAATATCTACAATTCTCTAGGTACATAGTTTTATTGGTTCGATTGTGCGACAGTGTATCACCAAAATCCGCTCCTTGCAAGAAGTTGCATTTGAGTCCTTAGGGATCTAAAGAGATCGAAAAAAAAAGATTTGGTTCACTGGAGCCAGCCAATCAAAGCGCCGACCGCGCTTGATACTATTACGTTACGAATGCGATATTCATTGCAGTCAGTGCTTGGCACTCTGATACAGTATTTATAAATTAGTCCACAAGAGTGCAATAATGCAAATAAAATGTGCAGAAATAAATGAAATGAAATTATTTTCCAGTCGGACGAAAGTATAATATTATTATTTTTTTTCTCCAAATCTCGTAAAGATCAGCAGGAATAAAGTGAAATAGAGGGTTTTCAACGTAAATAAATAATTTGACAAATAGCAAATTATTCTAAATAAAATTATTTTAATGTGTTCTTGCTGATCTTTATGAGTTTTTTCCTACACCTTTTCCTTTATATTTACCTTGCTGATAATTTACAACAACATTTTCTTTATTTTCTCTTTGATCTATATTGTATAGGTAGCGTCATCCTCGCTAATTATACTAGTAGTAGGCACTAATCTGGGCACGCTGTCACAATATTTAAAGATGAACACATTTATAAAAAAAATATTTATACTCTATGGTCATCTCACTGGCAACATCATTGTACTTCTTTGTGCACGACCTGTCACGTCGTACTGGAAAATTTTTCAATTTAATTTGGTGATTTTCCTACTAAATAGGTCGAAAACGTCGCAAGCAGATAGGAAAACTGATGGAGTGTATGCAGGAATTGGATAATTGGGCGAAACCGGCGAGAGGACGCATTCGTTGTCGTCAGTTGGGTAAGTTTTTTCTTGTAGGTACTTACACCACATTGTGGGGCGTTTTCCAATAGCTTCCACAAGCGGATAGCCTTGAGACTGATTGTGTACGCAACATACACACTTGAAACGTACCATAAGAGCCCTCAGGAGAGGTGAGCCATTGGTTATACGTTTTCTATATACCTAGATCGAACCACAAGAGCCTTCACGAGAGGTCGGCCGTTGGTTACACGTTTACTATAGATCGAACCACAAGAGCCTTCACGAGAGGTTGGCCGTTGGTTACATGTTTACTATAGAT